GACCCGAGTTCGATTCCTCCTCCCCTCTCGGAGAGCCCGGCAAGCTACCGAGAGTATCTCACCCGCACGGCAGAGCCTGGCAAGCCACCCGTGAAGTATTCGATATGCCAAACACAGTAACAAGTCTCATGATGGAGACGTTACTGGGCCCGCTCGAGCAAATCGATGAACGGGAGGACCATGACCGTGACCGTGACCCATTTTTCTTAATACTGAGTATCAGTTTCCCCACCTAAGCATCAGAGCCCTAATGTGGGACATTCATACCCCCTCTGGAATATTTCAAAAACCTGTAAGCATTCACTAGAATATGGGGAGAGAGGTCGATTATAGTTCGGGACGCGGGGGCTCAGACCTGCCTTGCCTCTCTAAGGCTCTGGGTTTGAGCCCCTGGGTTGCTATTTATCTGGAAGCCTTCCCTGGTCAGTCCCCTGGAAGGTAAACTTGACCCTTTAACAACCTTCTTGCCCTTACACTGACAGGCTTTCCCGACCGGCCTCTGGGCTAGAAAGTGGAGAGTGCTCTTTTGATTAAAAAAGGGCTTCTGGGGGCTGGAGCGATAGGACAGCGGGTAAGGGGGTAGAGCGTTTGCCTTGCACGCTGCTGACCCGGGTTCGATTCCCAGCATCCCATATGGTCCCCTGAGCACTGCCAGGAGTAATTCCTGAATGCAGAGCCAGGAGTAACCCCTGTGCATCGCCAAGTGTGACCCAAAAAGCTAATAAAAAATAAAAAAGGGCTCCTGGGCTGGAGCGATAGTACAGCAGATAGGGCGCTTGCCTTGCATGTGGCCAGCCAGAGTTCTAATTCCCAGCATCCTGAGCACCACCAGGAGTAATTCCTGAGTGCAGGAGAGCATCACTGGTCGTGACCCCCAAAAAAAGCAGGCAGGGAGGGAAAGAAAGGGAGAAAAAGAGAAAGGAGGGAGGGAGGGATGGATAGAGGGCGGGCCGGCGGGCCAGTGTGCTCCTGCTTTTCTTGAAAGCTTTTCTAATTGCTGCATGGACCTTTCTAATTTGCTCTTCCTCTGTGAGGGTTGCTCTTTCCCCAGAAATCCAAATGGATTATCCCTCATCTTTTTTTCTTTCTTCTTTTTGTAAATTTCTCTTTGAAGTCTCAGCTCAAAAAAGCTACTATCCTGTGCTATTTCCATCAAGGCCCAGAACTCTCTTGCATCTTTGTATGTGTCTATTTAGAGCTTGCTACCATTGACGTCGGGGATGGAACCCGGTTCAGACACATGCAAGGCAAACGCCCTCCCTTGTCCAGCCCGACCCCATGTTTCATGAGCTTTTGGCTGTGTTTCTAGTGGCTAGAAAAATCTCGGGAGAGAGAGCCGGTGCATAAAATCCGAAGGAATTTGCAATATTTTGACCCCTTCTGATACTGGGGCTGAAGGATATGCAGCAGCCATGATCCCATGTCTGGATTCTGCTGTACTTTTGTGGGGGGCCTCGCTACTTGGCCCAGGTGCTCAGGGGGCCCTGGGGAGTGCTCAAGGCTTGTGGCTGCCAGGCAAGTGCTCCAGCCCTCTGGGTTATCTCCCTGAGCCTGTCTGTACCGCTTAAAGTTTTGTTAAATCAGCAGCCTACATAAGACCACCTGAAGTGGTCTTCAGCTGTCATAGGTGTGACCTATTTATATCTTTGGCTATATTTGTCATTCATTTTTCCAGCCACTTTGTCTACGGGAAACGGGTAATAATGGTGTGGGTTCAATATTTAATGTTGTAGACCTAATCATGGCCTAATGTAATAGTGTTGGAGGTTTGTCACTTAATGTGTTAGACCTAAAAGAGTCTTCTGGAATTACAGCTTCTTAGTCCGCTCTTCACTGAAGTAGGTTTTTAAGGTGGAAGGGTATTGGGGTTGGTTGGTTTGCGGGCCGGACCACACCCCGAAGGGCTAGGGTTGAACCCCAGATTGAGCACACTAGCTCTTTGAGCTGTCTAACCTACCCCGGAAGAAAGTCTTTGCATGGAAAATTTTCTCAAATCCTGCGTAGTAAATGACAGGACAAGGCCAGGAAATAGTACAGGGTGGGGCTGGCCTGGATTCCATTTACAGCACCACAGGACCCCTTGGCGTTGTGGGGTACAGTCCTGGGTTCCCCCTATTCCCCCCGACGCCCAGCATCTCTGGAATCGCGGGGGTCTCCCAGGCACTGCAGGTCCCAGTGGCCTCATGTCTTTGGGCCCCTGCATTAAACCGCTGGCCCAGGGGGCTGAAAATCACTGATGCAGCCCCTGGGGAGCTGGAGCCAGCACCACTTGGAGATCCCCCAAAAGACAGGGCAGTGCCTTTTGTTTTGTTTTATTTTGTTTTGTTTTGTTTTGTTTTCAGGGGTGGTAGTTGGCCATTTCCGGAAGTGCTTAGGGCTTTGGCTGAGTCTCAGTGCTCAAGGATCACTCATGGCAGCGTGGGGCCAGAGTCAGGGTAGGGCCAGACAGGTGCCGTATTCATAGCAAGCCCCTTAACTTCCCTCAGGCCCTAGGGCAGTGGAGGAACCATTTCCCTCGCTTTATGTCCAGACTTGCTAGCTGCTAGATAATTTGAAAATAAAATATTCAAAATCTTTCTCCTTAGAACCAAACATTTGGGACCCCATTGTTTCTAGGGAAGTCCCATATTTTTGCTCTGTTCAACAAGTTATACATAGACTGGCCTCTGATGACTCCCAAGAATTTTATCCTGTCAAAACTTTTTGTTTGGTTCCCATGTATAGTCTGAATTATGAAAACTAAATCAGACATCCAGAAAAGTATAGGATAAACAAGAGAGTTCTTTGTAACCGCAGAGAATAAATAGATGTTAACATTATTTGTGGTGGTCGTTGTTTTTGATTTTGGGGCACACCCTGTGATGCTGGAGGCTACACCTGGCATAGTGCTCCGTGGTTAAGTGCTGGGGGTCGAGTGCTCGGGGGCCATTTCCAGCGGGACTCTTGCACGAGAAGCTTTGCTCCCGTGGGCTCTAAATGGTAACATTTAAAACTGAAAAACAATGGTGGGAGCCCTCCCTTGTTTGTCCCTTCCCCCTCTCCCCCCAAACTGAAGCCCTGTTGTGGCACATAGCTCAGCGTTGCTCCCAGAATCATCAGCAGCTGATTCCATGATTCCAGACCGAACAAGAAATTACATGATATTGACAGTGCACATTTCAGAGGCAGCTAACAGACATGACTTATTAAGTAGCCTCTCATCAAATATTCTGGAATACCTTACGTTTCAAACTCCAAAAATGTACTGTGTTTGGAGAGAGGGGTAGAGTCCTAAAGAAATATTCTGGATCAGGCAGTCTGTAATAGTTTATAAAGACTGCCACTCAGGCACAGGTGCCACACACTGACTCTGGCTGGGTTCTGACTTTCTAACTTACCCCGAACTCCCCCTCAGAGGTACCATATTGTGGCTCTGTCCTTGAGCAACCAAGAGGAAGCCCAAACTTAGCTTGCAGGTGCTGTGGGACAGCCCCACCTTTGGACAGGTCAAGGAGGGTCATTAATGACTTGTCCAAAGGCATAGTGGAAGGGAGGAAAGCGGGGAGTGTAGAGTCACAACTCCTCGGACCCCACTGGGATCATTTCAGAGGCCCAGTGAAGAAATCCATTGGAGGGTTTATGGCGAAAAGCTTCAAAATTATTTTGATCCAGAATCTACCTTGAAAGCAAGCTTGTCTCCAGAAATCTCAGGCAGTACACTTGATTATATGCTTGTGGGATGAAACTTCCTTGATAGAGCACTCCCGCGTTCCATCCTACTTAGATAAAGTTTATGTTTCCACTCCCCCTCATCCCTCGGTGGTTGTGATGTTGGGGATCGCTTGCCTCCCTGCAGACAGGCAACTGAGGCACAAGACTTCCCGGGAGCCGGGTGGGTGCTGCGCCCACACGTGCTCACGGGGCTCTCGCTTCCGGCAAGCGCTCGGGGGTCGCTCCATGCTCTGTGGTGCTCACAGACCCGGGATGGGCCAGGAACCGCTTTGGTGCCGCTGACCAATGGGCAGAGGCTGCCGAGATCTTTGGGTGCTACTGGACACTGGGATCTCCCTGGGCTCCGGTGGACACTGGGATCTCCCCCCGCCTTTAGTAGACACTGGGATCTCTCCGGGCGCTAGTGGACATTGGAATCTCTCCGAGCGTTAGTGGACACTGGGATCTCTCCGAGCGTTAGTGGACACTGGGATCTCTCCGAGCGTTAGTGGACACTGGAATCTCTCCGAGCGTTAGTGGACACTGGGATCTCTCCGAGCGTTAGTGGACACTGGGATCTCTCCGGGCGCTAGTGGACACTGGGATCTCCCCCGGCGCTAGTGGACACTGGGATCTCGCCCGGCGCTAGTGGGCACCGGGATCTTCCCGGAGGCTAATGGACACTGGGATCTCCCCGGGCACTAGTGAACACTGGGATCTCTCCGGATGCTAGTGGACACTCAGATCTCCCCGGGCGGTAGCGGACACTGGGATCTCGCCCGGGCTAGCGGACCCTGGGGCTCTGAACCGGGACCATATGCTCCCAGGACGGGCTGCACTAGGCGGTCTGGCTACAAGTAAAAAAATGCGGAAGGCGGGAAAGTCTAGTGCTGGGCAATTCCCGTAGCAGCGGGGCCGGCCGGGGACTGCGGGCGAAACCTCACGGGCGTCTTTCGTCTACACGGTCGCGGGGACAGGCCGTCTGTGCGGGGCCGCCACCGAGCACCCGCGAGCGGGCGGCCGCTGCGCCTGCGCGGGGCGGGGCGGGGCGGCGGTGACGCGCGCGCCGCGGGGCATTGTGGGGCCGGGCGGCGAACGAGGCGGCCCGAGGCGGCGCGGGGGCGGCCGTTGGTTCGTCGCCTGCTCGCTCGCTCGCTCGCTCGCGCCCTCCACCGCCCGTCAGGCCCCGGCCTCGCGCGCGGCGCTCCCCTCCCTCCCCCGGCCAGCGGCGGGGCGGAGAAACGGCGGCGGCGGCGGGCCTGGTCCTCGTCCTCGTCCTCGTCGTCTCCTCCTCCTCCTCCTCCTCCTCCTCGGCGGCCCGGCGGCCGGTCCCTGCCCCCCCTCCCTCTCACTGTTTGTTGTGTGTTTGATGTGTTAAAGCAGGGGCGAGACGCCGAGCAGCGCCATGAGCAGCACCAGCGTCGTGCCCAGCGCCGCGGGCCCGGGCCCCAGCGGCGGGCCGGGCGGCGGCGGCGGCGGCGGTGGCGGCGGCGGCACCGAGGTCATCCAGGTGACGAACGTCTCCCCGAGCGCCAGCTCCGAGCAGATGCGGACCCTCTTCGGCTTCCTGGGCAAGATCGACGAGCTGCGCCTCTTCCCGCCGGAGTGAGTGTCGGCCGGCGCGGCGCGGCCTAGCCGGGCCCGGGCCGGGGGTGGGCGGGCCGCGCGCCGCGGGGGGCGGGGGCGGGGGGCGCGGAGGGAGGGCGGACCCCCGGTTGCAGCGGCCCCCCGAGAGGAAACCACCGGAACGTGGGCTTCGCGGCGCCTGGGATGGATCGGGTTTCCTTTGTTTGTTTCCGCGTCGGGCGCTCGGGAACTCGGTGACAGTTTGGTCGGAGCTTGGGCGGCCGCGTTTGGGGCGGGCGTGGGGGGGCCGCGATCCTGCCGCGCCCCCCCCCACCCCCGCGCCCGCCGGGACCCACCGGAGCCAGGGCTTGCTGGCGATGCGGTGGATGGACGCGACCCTCCCTCCGGCCGCCTCCCCCGGACTCGCGGGTAGCGGTTTGATCGCTGCAGCGTGTGGCAGTAATTCTTAGAGGCTCTCGTGGGGGCGAGGAAACGAGGAAGAAAAAGCAGAAGTTTGAAATAATCGAGCAGCCCTGAGCTCCCGGGCCGTGGAGGAAGGAGAGTCTGGTGCTTGTGTGTGCGTTTGCTTAGCCACGGTACCTGGAGAGGTTTCTGATGTCGTCCAAGTCCGGAACAGACCGCTGTCCCCAAGGATCCTCCCGCCGCCCTCCGTCTCTGGCCCTTTCTTTCAAATGAGGCTCGATCGCGGTTTTTGTTCGCTGTTACTGTATCTCTGCTCCGCTCTTGAGAATGCGCGGTGGAGGGAGTTGACAGAGTTACTAGCTGGCCGGGAGTGCAGAGTTCCTGCAAGGAGCGTTGTTTTTTTTATTTTTTTTTTCATGGTTAGAAACTGGCCTTGCTTTGGGAATGAAGGAAGAGTCGCTTTCAGAATATGGACACGCTGTATTCCATTTTCTTAGAAAAGAGTGTGCCCTTTATTTAGCCAAGTTAGTAAACAGCCAAATGGCCACTGATAGAAACGTTGCTTCATTTTGTGTGTGTGTTCACATTCCTCTACCCCCCCTCCCCCCAAAAAAGGGCACATTTATATGGACCTGGAACTCTTCCTATCAATATGCCCATCATGTGCTGCTTTCGGAAACCTTACCTCATCCGCTGGTCCTAGCTGTTCTCTTTCCTGTTCCTTTCCTTCCTCCGCACCTGTCACCAATTGATGGCTTCAAACTCCACTTCTTCCCTCTTCTAGAGTATGAGTCCCTTAGGTAGTGCATGGGATCATCCTGACCACCTCCAGGGCCGTGTTTTAAAGTACAGGTGTATGATTAACATCTAACCAGCACCTACTGAAATTCTAATTTTACTTTTAAGTGTCTGGTGGAGGATATGGGGGTGGGGGCGCTGTGGGAGGTATCCTCCGATTGTGTCGAGACATTTCTGTGACAACTTAGACTAGATCCTTTATTTCATTTGCTTCCAAGATGTCTTGGCAAGCCCAAAGTGCCCCATACTTTAACCCAGTGGTTTACTGTCACCAGTGGTCTTGACCCCTCTCTGTGTGGCAGCCTGAAAGCTATCGCTTTTAATTTCATTGGTGTTGAAGACTTGCTCCTGGCCTGGCACTGCCAGACCCGGTAGTGATGTCCGGGATCTGGGTTTGCCACGTGCAAAGCAGGCACTTAACCTGTCTCTCTGCCCCCCCCCCCCTTTTGCCCCCCCCATTCAGTGTTAAACGTTACTGTGATGGTTTCTGAAATGTATAATGGAAGTTCACTATCCACCTGAATGTGTATTATGCTAGATGCTTTCCTGTTTTTTTTCTACTTAGTTCTTACTAACTCAGAGGAAGACTTATCTTTTATCCTGTTTCACAAGTGAATGAACTGAAATTCACATGGGTGGTTTTATCACTGTCAGAGTCAAAGCTAGTAATGAGCTTTTGATCCCAGTGAAGCATACGTGAGTTAACACCCAATTGCAGGCTACTACTGTTCCCACTACAGGTTGGTATAAGTTCATTAGTACTTCTCAGGGACTCAGAATAAATACTTTAATAATGAGATATGGAACTCAGTAGGTTTTTTCCTGTTTTGTTTTGGTTTTTTTTTTTGTTTTTTTGTTTGTTTGTTTGTTTGTTTTTTTAAGCTTTGTAACACATCCCACCTGAGTTTGATTCTCAACCACCCTTGTGGTACTCCGAGCTTGCCAGGCATGATCCCTGAATGCAGAGTCAGGACTAAGTCCTCAGTAACACAGGGAATGGCCGAAAAACAAAGCCAAACCAAAAACAAAACTAAGAAAATCTACACAATTGGGAAGATCAATACGGCCAGGTCATTAGTAGACTGGTGAGGGGCAGAGAGCAGAAGTGGAAATTGGAAATAGCGCTTCGTAAGCTCAGACACTTCTATTCAGGGATGGTTAAACGTACCATACTCTGGTGGGAATAGAAGAATGATACCAATGGTCTAAACCAGAAATTCTTTTGAGCAGTCCTCCTGAAGGTTGCCCAGAGGGCACCACGTGGTTCACCTCCAGGCCCCAGAAGGATAACTCTAGCCCCACTGAGGAAGCCTCTGGGGAAATGACACGCTCTAGGGACTGGGGTACAGCATTTTGCATTTAAGAGACCTGGATTCTTGTGGTTCCCCCAAACCCGAAAACCAAAAACTTAAAACTGAAACGAACAGCCTCCTGTGTGAAAAGAATTCTTCAACTCACTGATATCAAAATAGAACAAGGAGGTGTGAATTTTCATTGTGTATTCCAGAATATTCTAAAAGAATTCACTCTTAGAGGAAACTTTAAATAGTAAAAAGTGTGCCGATACGATACTCTTAAGTGAAGGGTCAAAAAGTATTACTCAGAAGCTGGAGAGTCAGCCCAGGGATTAAAGTACTTCCTTGCATGTGGCCCACCCTGGTTTGATGCCCAGCGCCACAGATGGTCCCCTCGGCATGCGGTGCTGTGGCCCAGTTCCCCCACTGCTGTCCCCCAGAATGAATTTCACAGGGTTCACTTTTTCCTGTCTTGCTTTTCCGCTCTTTTCACTCTCTTCATCCTCATTTATTGTGTCACAGTTACATTTTAGGGAGTGGCATATACACAAAATTCTAAGGTATTGAAATTGATTTCTAATCTTTTGGGCTGGGGGGGAGGGGGCGGCCCACACCCGGCATTGTTCAGGGCTTATTTACTCCTGGCTCTGCACCAGGGATCACTCTGGTGGGCTTGGGGTACCATATGGGACGACCATGTGCAAGAAAACGCTCTACTCATTGTATTATCCGGTCCCTAATAAATGGAACATTTTAATTTAGAGTATTTGTCGGGGCACATAGTAACGACTTCTTAAAAACTAATTGAAAGTCAGGAGAAATTAATTATTTGCCCTTCATGTTGTCTTGATCTCACTGTCTTTTCTGTGGTATTTAAGCCATATTTTTTATCTCAACATGTTTGATATAACCAGAGTTATAATTGTTGCAGTCCTTTGACATGAGTAGGTAGGAAAAATATGAATCATTTTAAAATTGTTAAATGCATAGGGCTACATTTGTGAGCATGTGGGTGATACTTGGTACTAATTTTATTAAGTGAACCATTCCATATATTAAGAACCTAATATTTTATAATGATTTTTGTTTGTTAGTTTTTTTTTTAAGTCGGTGCTTAAGTCGGTGCTGTGAGAAATGATAGAGGTTACTTTTAAAAAGAAATTTTAAGTGCCTACTCCTGTAAGGCATTGTGTTAAGAATGTCAGTGATTAAAATATGACTTTCAGAACACAATGGTAACTTTAGAACTGTTAAAATTGCATGCATCTTTGTACCCAGGGTGTAGCATTGTTAAATTTTGCCAGTAATGCTTCACCTTAAAACAATTTCAAAGGATCAATAAAACACCTCTAACAGGATAGATGGCTTGAATTACATTTTTCTTTGGGTCTGCATTAGGATATGTAATGTTAGTGATACAGTTAGTGAAATTTACTACAAATATCGAAGTTACATTAGCAGTTCAAATGGATTTGAGTTCTTAGATTACATAGACTTATTAGCCCTTAAATAGTTTCTATTTCATGGTCAGCATGATGAGGTCAAATAAACTCTGCAGTACTAGTGTAATCAAATCGAATGTAAATACTTTATATGCACGTAAAAATCCTATTAGGAAAGTTAACTAGAGCTCCATTCTAGTAGCATTTATTCTTACAACAAGGTTTCCTTTTATATTAAGTTTTCATGTGTAATTGACTTGTAATAAAGCATTTTTTAAATCCTGGGTACATAGTAAAAAAGGGAAATTAAAGCAGAAAGAGGCACTCAGTTATTCATCGAAGTTCTTGATTTAATTGATGGAAAGTGAAGAGCATGAGTGTTATTCTGCACAGATGATTCTGATGTATAACCCAGGATAGTGTTATTGCTGACATAGGCTATTGGTTCTTGAATAATTTAGAGGTCTGGGAGCATCTTTACCTGTATTTCCTCTTTTCCTTTTACAGAAAGACTCCTAGCAGAAATTTGAACTACAAAACCCCTTGTCGCCTCATGTAATCTGGTTTAGCTGCCATAATTGCATTTTAGCTTTTTTTTTTAACCTAAATAAGCAGTTGGCCAAGGGAATTGCGTAATAGTACTAGAGGGTGGAATGTTATCCACTGTGGCTAAAAAAAATTGTTTTTCAGAAACTACTGTTAAACTAGAAAGCTTTATTTACACTTTCTAACAATTCTTACTATGAAAGAGAATTTTAGGCATTTTAGTAAGGTCAGGAAAATTCATTGATTATCAAGTACATATATATGTTATCTCCAGACAGTATTCTTTTATCTCTAAAAATTATTAAAAAACACTCTCTTAAGGTTAGTCATAATGAAGATTTTCTAAGCCAAAACTAATGAGCTATTTCCTGTACTTAATGGTATGGATACTATGATACGTGTTGACACCATTGTCTTCTGCTCCTAGACTTTAGTTTTAAACTTTTTAACACACACTAAATATATGCTGGTGTGTTACTGGTTTAGGGTTGTTTAAGTCTACGTGGAATTATTCATGAATTTAGTGGGTAGGTCGTTTGAAATGTCACTTTTAGAATTGATAACTGTATGTTGTTACTCTATGAATTGTATTTTGGGTTTTAGCTGATACTCTTTTTTCTTCTGTTTTGTGTTGATTTTTTTATTTTTTTATTTTTTTAGTGATTCACCTTTGCCGGTTTCATCCCGTGTCTGCTTTGTTAAGTTCCATGATCCAGACTCTGCAGTTGTGGCCCAGCACCTGACAAACACTGTTTTCGTTGACCGAGCTTTGATAGTCGTACCGTATGCAGAAGGTTTGTGCTTTGTTTAACTACCTACTGGGCATCTTATGATGACCATCTACCTCAGTGTAGTTTTAGAGTGAGCGTTAGTAGCATGTTAAAAATCTAAGCAATTAACATTCTGAAACCCTTGTTATACTGTGGTCCATGTTCTAAACAGTAGGAACCAGATTTATTTAAGTTAGCCTTTTTTTTTCTTTTAAAAATGGAAACTTTGAACTTGATTACAACCACATCCCTCTTTGTAATTCCTTAAGATGATGCTACTTAGTTAATGTTGTTTTAACAGAAAAGTCTGAGGTGAATGGCACTCCATTTACAGAGAAACTTTAAAATAAATGCATGATACTATATTTGTTTTGAATTAACGACTAGGTTAGTTTTATTCCGTAGTTATTTTCACTCTCTGCTAACTTAAAAAAAAAAAAAAGACAACTCCCCACATTAAATTCCAGTATACCAAGGGTTGCAATGGTTTTGGTCTTTATGAAAGTTCAAGATTTCCTGTAGCTTAGGTGCCCGATGGGCACTGGGTGTTTTGTTTTTATGCCAAATTTTCTTGTTCATTCTTGCTATATTTTCTAGAATATCTCTAAATAATAAATTCTTCTCTCTGTTATTTGTGTGTGTGATTTTTGTAGTGGAGAAGGCAAATGCAAAACTCTTCCAGATGACTGAAAAACAGTGGGTCCTCTGCAGCTACAGGGGATTCTAGACATTAACTAAAGGCCAGCAAGCACTCAAGTCCCCCAAGTGTTTTCCTGGTGTAACCATTTATTAACTACATTTTCTTTCTTTTTACATTTTAGGCTGTTACAAAGTAATTTGACAAAAATTACAAGCAGGGTTTGGGGGTCAAAAAGCCACTGTAACAAGAGAGCACTATTTTAATTCCATTTTGTAAAATTTTCTAAGTCATATTTTATAAGTAGTTTGTTCCCAATGTATTGTTTATTTGCTTTTGGGTAGCTGTAAATATTGATAAAAGAAATCACTGAAATATGATAGAATTACTGGATTTTAAGTTAAGAATAGAAATGCTGACCAGGAATTAATGCTTTCCCTTTTCCTTTATTAACTGGTCAGTATAATCTTGATATTGTTTCATTTAGATGCTACCTTAGGTCTTTGGATACCAATGTGAACATTTACACTATATTTTGTAAACATTGTGAAATGTTTTGTCCTTAAAACTTAGAAAATTTGACTTTGGTTTTCAGAAATAAATTGCATTTTATATGGGTTTAAATCATGCTATATAATGCAGTACCTCTATATTAAAAAGTGTGTTCCCAGTTCTAAGATTTTAAAATACTTATATATGCTGATAAACTTTGAGTTAGTATGTTTTAGTTAAGAAATTTCTTTTCATGTCAGTGTACCTATCATAGGGTAAGATTTATCTAGAGAAAATTTATAGAAGTCAAATTTAGCATAAGTAAATGCTAGTTTTGGAGACAAGGGTCAAACCATGTGAGTAACGTGCAGAACATCAATAAGCATTTAAATTTAAAGAATTCTTACTGACTTAAGTGTTATAACTCCCAGGGCTTGAACATAATACAGTATATCATATAGATCTCATGACTGTAGTAATTTTTTGGATCTTTTAAAGTGAGATATTTGGGAATGTGTACAGAACTATGTAATATAGTTTCAAAATCTATTGGTGTATTTGATTATGGCTATGGTATGCTGTATTACTGTTGTCTCCACTGACTAAGCAATGTATTCGATCCTTTTGTCACCGTTCTCCCTGGTTTTAGCTCTTACCCTTTGGTGTTGGTTCTTGGTCAGTGTTTTAGAACAATAGACATAAAGTCTACGGTAAGGAATAGTCTTAAATGGTAAATCTAAGCTGAATTTGGAAGGAACTCTTTTAATAGTAATGGATTTGGGGGTTATTAGGTTCCTTGGTTAATGTTTGTTTCTTTTGTCTGTTTCTTTTTCTTTCATTTCTACACATTCATGCAGTATTTCATGGTTCTATCAAAGCAGCAGTAAAAAAAATACTCTTGACGCATGAAAATTAACTGGTGAGGGGCCTCATTGCTATTTTTCGATTGTAGTTTTATTTTTAAATAGTCTTTTTTAATCAGAGGATCAGATGCATGACTTTTTTTTTAATGGATGCAGATCTTCTAGCAGGTGTCTCCCAATAAAAATCAAGAGGATTTTAGTTTGCCAGAAATATTGCAAATGCACTGATTGAGTAAGATGTTGATACTTAATATTATCCTCTTGACATAATTGTGCATGCAGAATTACCCCATAATCTTTATAGGTTTGTTAATATTGATGCATTACTGCCCTATACCTAAATGATCTTCTCCCCTCCCCCTCCATACCTCTCGGTGTCTAAATTGATGACAGCTCTGGCACAAGCGCGATAACAGTGCTGTGTAGTGTACATTTGTTTATGTTATCGGCACTCTCAGTGTAGGTGGAAGGAACCATTACCTTTATTTAACAGTGGTTTTTCTTTTTTGTTGTTGTGTTTTACAGTTCTTTTCCCTGGTTCAGCCTGAACTATATACCAGGCCCTGCTGAAAATACCACCCAACAGTTTTCTTCTGCAGCTTATCCAGTTTCTCTTAAGTGCCCTGTACATATTGTATGTTTTATGATGAGATGCAGTTTCTTAATATGTATTACAGAAATACTACTGGTATTTGAAAATTTGTAGTTTAATTGTATTATTGAACTCTCATATCGGGGGCTTGGGCACATTAACAGATTAATCCATCTGTATAGGGCTTTTGCTGTTGGATAGAATTTAAATTGTCTACATAATTATTTGTCTTAGGACCCATAGATTTTATCTGAATACACAGTTTAGGCTTAAAAACAGACATACATGTCATTTTTGGCTTTAGGAGTTTGACTAAGTTAGCTTTAGAATTGACACTGTAGCAGCAGTTTTTGGTATGGTTAAGCATGGCACATGTTGGATCATAAAGCATTTTACTGTACAGGTAAGGAATGTGCCATGTTCTCTCACTCACGCACCCACTCACACACTTCTTGTGTGTATTCAGAAACCATCAGAAGCATTCATGTTCATTTTCATGAGTCAGCAAAAGCCCTACGCTTGATTCCAACAGAATATTTCCTTTACATACTTTCTTCTCTTAAATTTTACAAAATTTGTATGGTAGGTGTAAAAGAAAATCATAGTAACTGTACCATATTATTAACCCCTAAATCAAACTTTTTTTGTCTTGTGTATCTTGATTTTTCTGTGTGCTTTATAGTGAAGCAGCCGACACGAGTCGTTGTTCATAAAACAGCTTTTGAAAGTTGAGAGCACACCCCTGGAGAACCGACTGTGCTTGCTTACGTTTGGTTCATGACTTAAAAATCGAGTACAGGTGATGAAATCTTGGCAGTGTTAACAAAAAAGTAGTGTGTATTGTGCTATTTTTTTTTACTCTAGAAACTTAACCATTTGTAGAGAAAAAGGAAACAAATTTTCACACATTGAAGTTTCATTGACATAAAAATTAATGATAAATAATCATAGAAAATCAAGCTTTATATTTTAGCGAACATAAGTACTTTCAACAAACTCAGGTGGTGTATCAGGGAGACATTTTCTGGGTGTTTTTGTGTGTTTTCTGTTTGGCGAGAGGGTATGTTCTAATGCGTGGCTGTTTCTCTGCAGGAGTTATTCCTGATGAGACTAAGGCTCTGTCTCTGTTGGCACCAGCTAATGCAGTGGCAGGCCTTCTGCCTGGTGGTGGACTCCTGCCGACCCCTAACCCCCTTACACAGGTACTGACACTGCAGGGTTCTTCCAGGGCGGGGAGGAGCGCGCCAGAGATAGTTACTCTGAGCGCCGGAAGTGGTATTAATCCCAGCTCCGAGAGCAGAATCCAAGTGCCTGGTCCTGCTGGAAGTATTGGAGGCTTGTGGCTCATTGGTAGAACCGAATTCAAACCCAGCACGGGGGTGGGAGTGAGGAAACTTTAGCTGGGGGGCCAGGGAGATGGGACAAGGGTTGCCTTGGTATGTAGTCCACCCCAGTTTAATCCGGGTGAGCTCTGCTAGGTGTCAACCTCTGGGCCCTTCTGCGTCCCCCCCCAAAATATCACAAATACTGAGTAGCCACCTTGTAGTTTGCATGATGGAAATAATGCGTTTTTGGTTTCACTTGGGGTTTTGTTCGCACCCAATAGGGCTCAAGGGCTACTCCTTGCTTGGTGCATAGGAGACACTCAATGTGCAGTACTGGGGTCAGGGATGTTGCTTTTCATTCATGTCTTGCCCGTGTGTGGCTGGGGTTTAAGTTCTAACACTGTTTTTCTATAAGATTAACAATATTGGGCCAAAGCAATAGTGCAGCAGGTAGGGCGTTTTGCCTTGTACACAGCCAACCTGGGTTCTATCTCCCCCCATCCCATATGGCCCCCCAAGCATCGCCAGGAGTAACTCCTGAGTGCAGAGGCAGGAGTAACGCCTGAGCATCACTGGGTGTCACCCAAAATGGGGGGCGGGGGGAGGGAGGGAATGAAGGAATGAATAACATGTATTATGACAGTGGTGAGAATAGAACTGCTCGTTGGTTTCACAGCCCCAGAGATGAATCTTAGCACCACGTAAGAACATTCTCTAAATAGTGAAGTTTTCTACTGACTCTATAAATATCGTAGGGAATAAGATGAACTCCCAGCTCTTTGAGTCATAACTTTAACTTAACCCCTAGACTTTTTTTTTTTAAATTTTTTGATCTGTAAAAAATTAATCTCTTAATGTTGGAAAGTCTTGTCAAGGAAGCAGAGTGGAGAACAGTGAATTACAACTGAAAATCAAAATCTTACACGAGAGGGCTAGAGAGAGATGATATAGCGGGTCGCACACTTAGGTTGGATCCCGGCATCTCATAAGGTTCCCTGTGCGTTGCTAAGTATGACCAAAAAAAAAAAAAATCAAGGAAAACTTCAAACAAACGGGAAAAAATCTAGCACAAGAATGTTGTCAACTTTTTTCTGAATTTAGTTTTAAGGACAAATTGCTATAATGAAAATTGAGGTGTGGGGGTAGGAGGTGGAAAAGCACAGCCCTGGGCCAGACCCTGTTTGTCTTAGTTGATTAGAATACGGCTTCCTTTCATGTACTGTCTGTCTGGTCGCACTCCAGTGGCATCACTGTCATTGACAGTGCCCGTGTGGCCCTCCCGACTTAAACTTCTCATCTGACCCTTAGGGGCAAATCAAAGCTGATCTGGCAAGAGGCACTAATTAAGGGTGGTGTATTTTTAATTCCCAGATTGGCGCAGTTCCGTTGGCTGCTTTGGGAGCTCCTACTCTCGATCCTGCCCTTGCTGCGCTTGGGCTTCCGGGAGCAAACTTGAACTCTCAGGTATGACTCAAACGTATCTTCAACTTCCAACTTATTTCTGTGATTTAATTTTACTGACAGCGTTCATTTCAACAGCAGGTAGGTGATGGATAAGTGTCATGTTCTGACTGTAAGATTTTTGAAAGTGGTTTGATTCAAAGGACACCATGTTATTCACCCCATACCTAATAAAGAATTTTCAGATTAGTCAGAGAAGGGTAGTTTTTCACCATGAGCCAGCCTGTCACTGTGGCGTCATGGATTGTCAGTAACGGTTGAGAAAAGATGGCAACAGGGATTTGTAAATTGTTTTCCCAATTCTTAGATTTTGTTTTTCTGGAATTTGCTTACGCAATTTTCTGTGATCCTTGATAAGTGTTTTGTTACAGTAGCTAAGCACTTTTTGTGTTTTGTAGTACATGCTTTTAGAAGCATCCTAAAATGAGCAGTAGGTTCTGTAAAATGAGACTGAGCTTCATTGTCTTCATACTTAACTCGGGAAAACAGCTCTTGATACACACTTATTAGTAACTAAAGTCATGCTTGTTCCTATTACAATATGGGCACCAAAAAATTTCGTGGGACACACTGCCTACCTTGCATTTCTGTTGGTCACTGTAGTGCCTAGAATAGATTTTAATAGATTCAGCAGATTATCCCAGGACATCGAAATATTCTGAAAAAGAGGGGGGCGGAAAGTGATGATTTTTCTGTCTCAAGAATTGTATTTTTGTCTCCGTAGTCTCTTGCTGCGGATCAGTTGCTGAAACTTATGAGTACTGTTGATCCCAAGTAAGGACTTTTCTTTATTTTTTTCACTAATCGTATGTATGTGTATATATGTGGGGTGATTATTTTAAGGAACAGCTTATTTATTTTTTTGCTAAAAGAAAGTTACCACTAGACTTGTAGTTCTTAATTGTTTTCTAGAGACGCGAAAAATCTAGAGGTAAGACTACGCAGAGATTTTGGATAGACTCTGGGAAATAACCGATCCAATGGTCTATTTCTTTCAATTTATTTCTAGTCTCTAGAAAGAGTTATTTATTTAAATATAGTAAAGCAAAGCTTTGTATCCAACTTGGGAGTATCCCGATCTGCAGGGGGTAACTCGGTTCCGAAAAGCTGTGCCCTGAAGCACTGGTAAGGTGAGGGAAGCACTGCCTCAACAGTGGAGTACTGGGCCACACAGAATTAGTGCAGGCAGCCATTCCTCTCATGCAACAGAGAATTTTCCTACTTGACAGTAACCTCTTCACAAAATGTTTCCGTTGGTGACTTCTTTGTATAGTAAAGTTACAGGTTTTTTTTTCCCCTTTCTTTAAAACATGGTCAAAGTCACTGGTAGTCGATGGAAAGCATGGGAGGGAAGATGGAACAATATGATTTGGTTTACGAGCCTTTTTTCCTAAAACTTCCTGTGATAGGATTTAAATTTATACCTGCTATCTGGTTTATAAAATCCCCCTCAAGTACAGTTGAAAGTCCTTTTTTCTCCAATTTTTGTTCATATTTCCCACTTTACCCACTAATAATTATTTTCTCCCCCGTGCAAAACCCATAAGATTTCCTTAAACAGAGCGATGCTGGTGATTTCACCTGTGGCTCACACTTGAATGTGGATTGATTCACACAGTTTGTAGGAAGTTTGATGTGGCAGTGGTCTCTGCCTGAGTTTTTCTCCCCTAAGAGTTAACGTCCCAACAAGATTTTGAAACCTTGTTAATCAGAAGTCTTCATTTGCATATTCCACTGCTGTGGTGTTTCTCAAAATGTGATGGTGCATAGCTAGTGGATGTTGAGCAAAATTAAATAGATCCTTGTTTATTCCAGACATCTGAGTCTTTAAAACGCTGGTCTCGTAAATACTGGCTATGTGGTTGGGTTGCTGTTATCTACTGCTTACTATAGTGCCATCTTGAGCTCTCGCATCCCCAGGGAATAACTGAAAACATATTATATGTAACATTTACTTGAAGTGCTCTTTGAAAATGTTTTAGATTTCAATTTTTGGGTTCTGTTTTAGGTTGAATCACGTAGCTGCTGGTCTAGTTTCGCCGAGCCTGAAATCAGATACCTCTAGTAAAGAAATAGAGGAAGCCATGAAGAGAGTACGAGAAGCACAGTCTCTGATTTCTGCTGCTATAGAACCAGGTAAAGCAGAGTGATGCTGTGTGGACCCCGGCGCATTGCTGCCAGCGCGTGCCATCACAGGTGGCCGCTCTCGGATGCTGCGTCACTCACACAAATCCCTACGCTCGCACCGGTGTGTGTTGAAGTAGGATTGCTGGCAGAAATAATCACTCCCTAAGTCTGTTGAATGGTCTCCTAGTAATTTTCTTTTCCCAATTTCTGACGGAATATGGATGGAATGATTCTGAGCGTGGGAGTAGGTGGTTCCAGTGCTCAGACATTCAGAAGTCCCTGGAACGCTATGGCGGTCATGCTGGTACCAATTGCGTCTTGTGGGTAGTGATCCCAGGGGGGCAAAGCCTCCCACTTTGTCCAGGAGCAGCCTTCCTGCAGGAAGGAAGTAGGTTTCTTACGGGACCACACTCCATATATCTGTAGGTTGTGTAAAAGTTGAAAATTAATTTCTAGATTCACTCCTGAATGGGAGAGATCGTCCCCATTGGGCTCCTTATAAATCCAGATTTTTTTTCCATCTAGATAAGAAAGAGGAAAAACGAAGGCACTCAAGATCCAGGTCCCGCTCCCGGAGGAGAAGGACGCCCTCCTCTTCTCGGCACAGGTCAGACCCGGGCTCTTCGTGCTTATCATTCTGGTCTGAACTAATTTGGCCCGCCGCCCCCTTTTCAGGGGAACGAACGTTTACGCTTCCTCAGTTGCACCTGAGGTTACTAGCACTCCCCTCTTCCCTGCTGGTTCATGGAGGTGCATGGTGTCACACCTCCTTTAGGAAATATTGCTTTCGATGAAAATATTTTCTGTGTCTCACTTCCTTCTTAGTCTGCTGCCTAATGACCTCCTAGCTCCTGTTTTCCTTGTGCGTTCGTTAATCACTGATGCTCTCTTTTCAGCCTGCCTAGAGACACTAAATACCTTTATTCTCCACATAACGTTCCTGTGAAAATGTGTAAGGTTCACCATAGAACTGTGCTTCTGAAACTTGCTGCCTCTTTGGATTGTATCTTAGCGGGGGGGGGGGGGGGGGGGGGGGGGGCTACACCCAGTCTGCTCCTGACTCTGTGCTCAGGGGTCACACAGCACATATATGCAGTGCCGGGAATCAAATCAGGATTGGCCGAGCCGCACCACGTGCAAGGCAGGTCCCTTAGCTCCTGTCCTGTCTCTCGGGTCCCTAGAACTGTAGTATCTTATACATCTTGGGATATTACTGTGATATCTTGACGTGACCATTTTTTCTTTTTTTGATTATTAGATACATGTTAATCTTTTGTTTTTAAAAGCACATAGGTACCAGTAGTAAATAAAAGTAACTAGCATATTACTCTTGAAATAATTTTAATCACCTTATAGTATAGATGTTGATGCAGTAGTACTTCTGCTAATTTGTTTCTAAAACTGGTTTGTATTTTGCAGGGTTTTTTTTTATTCGAAAGAACCCAATTTATTTAAGAACGAATTCTCTTGAAATTTACATTTGTATTTGCTTTTTTACAAATTTCATGATTTTTCTATGGGCATTAAAGGCAGAAAAATACTGAACTCGAATTAGCTTAAAATTCTTCATGAGATTTGAAAGTTAGAATCCTCAAAAGATGAGCAATATTAGAATCTAATAACATCAGTTTATCTCTTAAAGCAGTTTTTGATATTCTGTAGGATCATTTAATTCGTTCAGACATGCTGTGCACCTTTGACTGAATTCAGGCACTGCAGTAATTGCTCAAAAGTACAGTGATGAGCAAATTAAAGAAACCCGTCTTTAAGGAGAGCAATAGAGGTCGATAAGGCTTACAGGGAAATGTCTACAATATAGGCTCATGATTAAGACTTAGCAAATAGAACATGGTCTGTAATAAGTTGCTTAAGCTTAAGATTTACAGAGTATAGTAGATCTAGGTTTTTGAAATAGATGTTTTAACAAATAGCTCATTGCCCTTGCAGTGTGAGAAATTCCAGGTACTGAAAACTATTCCTATTGTATTTAAAGAGGTTTACTGTGTCAGTGAAAGAAATAATGGCAACAACTAGGGGGAAGTTAAACCCACTTAATTGAAGGATAGCCCAGTGTCTGGGTGCTTCCGGTTCTCCAATGTATTGGCTTCCTCTCCCGGTTTCTAGGCGGTCAAGGAGCAGGTCAAGGAGGAGATCACATTCTAAGTCGGGGAGCAGGCGGCGATCCAAGAGTCCAAGGCGGAGAAGATCACATTCCCGAGAGAGGGGTCGAAGGTCAAGGAGCACCTCAAAAACCAGGTAACTGAACTTAACTGACACAGGTGGGACAGCCAAGTTCAGAGTTCCCAAGACCCCAGTCATGATGTTCCTTAATGAAAGGAAAGATTTGGAGGAAGGGCAACGGTGCAGGAAGGGATTCGACTAGAAGAGTGTATACACACACACACACACACAAAGCTCTGTTGACAGAAGGAGACTCTGATCAGAAGGTAATAAGAATGGATTGGAAGTAATATAGGGTGGGGAATTGGTTTGAAATGAATCCAAGGGAAATTTCAATTTCTAAAATTACAAACTTGCTGGTGAGTGTGCATGTGTTTGTGGGTATGGGAAACACACCATTTTTAAAAGTTGGTGAAATTGCCAGACATAACACAAATGGACTGGGGTGCCAATTGTATACTTACCAAGTTGTCTTCTTAGCTCTATTGGAGGGAAATTTTGTGTGAGAAACCAAGGAAATTGGAAATTTAACAAATGACTTTGCACGCATGCCACTTGAGGTGGCATGACTCTTCTGCTCACTTACTGGAATGACATTCACATTTTTTAAATGATGATAGTTCTGATTGTTTGGTTTGATTGGTGGGGGGGTATCAGGAGTTGTTTGTTTTGGTTGCAGCCATTGGTGCCCTTGGAGCCATCTTGAGGTGGGGCACAAACTTGGGGCTTCAGAGTGCGGGGAACGTGCTAGCGTCCCTTGGGCCATCTGCCCAGCCCCCAATAGGATGCTTTTTTTGCTTTTTCGTTTTTTTGAACTTCTGTTTGTGGTTGCTAAATTTTTTAACTCATTCATAAACGTTCTTCACTTGTCAGAGACAAAAAGAAAGAAGACAAAGAAAAGAAACGTTCTAAAACCCCTCCAAAAAGTTACAGCACAGCCAGACGGTCCAGAAGTGCAAGCAGGTATGGTGGCATTGTGAATTTGTCATACTTCCCCTACACGTCGCTTGCAAGAATATCAATAGTAAATGTTTCTCACCACATATACTGGGGAGGGAGGATTATATCTTAGAAAGCAGCTTGTAAACTAGAAAGCATCTTTGGGGGCGGGGGGGTGGTACTGAGCTTCATCAACTGGTGCTTGGGCTGTTCCTGGTCTGCTCAAAAGTGAGCCCTGGTGGTGCTTGGGGGACCATCTGTGGTGTTACGGGTTCAAACTAGAGTCTGCTTCATGCAGATAAAGTGCCTGGACCCCTGTTCTCTGTCTTCAGCCTAATATTATCTTTGTTTTCACTGTTCTTCTACGGTGTGCGGTGTATTTGGAGTCACATGGAATGTGAGCCGCACTCAGTTGCTGTGTTTTCTGTGTACTTCGCATTTCCACTCGATTCCCCTACACACCTGAAACGTTGCTTTTGCTGTTGCTTGAAGTCACATCCTTAGTGCTGCGGGGTGGAATATTCCTAGCTGGGAGATGAGGGGTCCCGGGGTCTCACAGCCTAGCGAGCTATTTCTCCAGCCCCAAGTAGTGAAGTTTGAATGATTACTTTTTATGACATTATTAACTCAACTTTATTAATAATAAAGACTGGCTATTAGAATTCCATTTTCATGCTTTCATTTCCTTTGCGGGAGGATTGGGGCCGCCTCTCCCCCGGTGGAGCTCAGGGCCTGTCCTGGCTCTGCTCAGGGGGACCACAGGTGGCGCTGGAGTCAGGGCCATGCCGCCTGACTCTCCCACCCAGTCACATTCTCTTTTAGTCTCATGTGCTTTACTGAAGTGTTTGTATTGGTTCTAGTTCTTAGTCCTTCATTTAGGTGGAATGTTGTTATAAACTGGAACAAAATGCCTCTTAGAAAGAAACAAGGGCAGATGACGTACGTGATGAAGGGTATATGTTAAGAAAATAGGAAGAACTTAGTGCAGGAGCAGTGTTGACCTTTCTCTGAGTAGGTCTTCTGGTGTCCAAGAAGCAACTAAACAGTGTCAACTTGCGCGGGGGAAATGCCCACTAAGACCATGCCACATACACTAGGGCGATTCTGTCCAAAATGACAGCGATGGCAGCTGTGTGGGTAGACACGGAGAACTTAGAACCCCTCGACTCCTTACTGCTGGGCTCGGGGTAAGGCAAAACTCTTGTCTGCTTTAGAAACGTTGGGCAGTTCCCCGAGGCTAATTGGGACAGTATAGGACACAAGTTTCCCTCCTGGGGATATAGGTTCCAGAGAGAAATGACACAAAAATGTGTGTGCCAGTGGGCCACGGCAGCATAATTGTGTTTTGTATGAAATGTCCAGATAAACTTATAAAGACCTAAAAGTAGGTAAGTTGGGAGGTAATAAGAGTATGGGTTTTTTTGTTTTGTTTTGTTTTTTAGGAGTAATGAAAATACTCTTAATACTCGAGGGGATTCGTTAGTGCCAGGTGAAGTAAAGCAGTAAATTGTGATGCTTGTTTTGCAGTATATATGAAGTTTGAATTATTGCACCACAAAAACTAATCGTAGCAAACTGGAAGCAGGCAGGAAAGGAGCCAGAGATTGCTGAGGGGTGCCAGTCCGTTCCCTCGGGGACTAGAGGTCGGGGCTCTCCAAGGCGCATGTTCTCCCCAGAACGCGTGTCTCGCTTGTCCGTCTGTCTCTGCTTGCCTGTTTCCGTGCCAGAGAAGCTTGTGTTCTCAGCACACACTTCTCCCTTTCTCTCCCCTCACATCTTTCTACATAAGTTTCAATAAAAACTTGCTTCACCAAAAATAAACACCTAGAGGCTGGGCTTGGGGGGCTCTGGGTCCCCTGCCGCCACCTGGGCCCCCTTACACTACCGGGGGAAAAGCCCATGCACTGCCAGCTGGGGGCCATATTTTTAATATTTCATTTGACTCACCGGATAACTTGAGTGAGCAGGGCTCTTGCCTTGCAGGCAGCTGACCCGAGTTCTGTCTCTGGCACCCCATATGGTCCCCCGAGCACCACCAGAAGTGAGCCCTGAGTGCAGTGAAGTACAGGGGTTTTTTTACTATTCTGTTTATATCTAAATTCTTCACAATCACAAATCATCCTGTTATTCGTCGATTGCCTCGAGCAGGCCCCAGTAACGTCTCCTTCATCCTGGCCCTGAAGTTATATTCAAGGCTCTTTAGGAGAATGAGACCCATCATCGTTACTGGTATTTGGCATATTGGGTATGCCACAGGGAGTTTGCCAGACTCTGCCGTGTGGGCAGGCTGCATTCGGTAGCCTGCCAGTTTGTCAAAGTAGGAAGGTTCCGGGAGCTGGTTTTTATAGTCTCAGAGTCTTGGCCGCTGATGGGATTACACGGCGCCAGGGGACAAGTTGGTGGGTGTGAATTCTTATGGGCAACTTTTGTCAGATAATAGTGATAACCAGAGTTAGTCTAAAAAATTAAAGCTGAAGATTGTACATCTGAGCGTGTTGACCAGTTGCTCAAAGCATGGTGGGGGGTGATTTGTTCTGGGGTATAAGTCAGTTTGATCTCTGATTTTAAGTAATAACATTTATTTTGGTTTGGGGGCTATACTCAAGGCAGTGCTCACGGGACCATTTGGGGTGCCGGGGATTGAACCCGGATTGATGTGCAGGACAGGTGCCCTCCCCACTGTACTATCACGCCAGCCCTGATCTCTAATATTACCACTAACTTTTTTTTTTGTTTGTTTTGGGGCCACACCCGGCTGTGCTCAGGGATCACTCTTGGCGGGGCTCGGGAGACCATATGTGGTGCCAGGGATCGAACCCGGGTCGGCTGCGCACAAGGCAGGTGCCCTACCCGCTTTACTATCACTCTGGCCCTTAATATTACCAACTAACTCTTAATTTTCTGGACTTTACATAATGATTTAAAAGTACTTTCTTTTATGGTTTTTATTTTTGGAGTCATACCCAACAATACTCAAGGCTTACTCCTGGCTCTCTGCGTGGAGGTCACTCCTGGCAATACTCAGGAAACCCTGCGTTGTCCTGGGACTCAGCCAGGGTCAGCTCCACGTGGGCCCTGCACTTTAACCCCTGTTCTCTCTCCTGCCCCCCCAAGTAATTTTTATTCTCTCCCTCCCCCCCCCTCCCCACCCCCTCATGTCTCAGTAATAATTTGTTTAACAAGAAATACTGGAAATTGGGGTTTCCTGTGGTTGTTTAAGAATAGACAGATGGCAGAAAGTTGTCTTTTTTTTTTTTTTATTTTTTTTTACTCATCTGAACAAAATTGTTGAGAATGGGTCTTTAAAATGATCATAGTCTTGTTGGAGGAGTTCTGTCATATTAGTAGAAAAAATTCTGCTCTGAAGGGTCTGCATATGGATAATGCTGTATTTTAAAATCTAGTCTGCACGTTTGTGGCCCTAGAGAGAGGCGCCGCCGCCGAAGCAGGAGCGGCACGCGGTCCCCTAAGAAGCCGCGCTCTCCCAAAAGGAAGCTCTCCCGGTCCCCGTCTCCTCGGAGGTAAGAACACAGAAGTTTTGTTTTCTGTTTTCAATTGCTGAGGTGGAGGGGAGATACACGTTCCTGGCGGTGCTTAAGGGACTGTATGTGGTTCCAGGGATCGAATGGGTTGGCAGCCACTGCCTCCCTATACTATCTACCCAGACCCCCCAACTATCATTTATTGATAAAAAAACTAACTTGATGAATGAATCCGTTTGTGCCTACATATACACAGTTAGGCAGCTGTGAGAAAAGGTGAAGTGCAGTTCTCTGGCTTGGGGATGGAACCAAAGGGGCATCATGTTACGGCAAATAAGTCAGTCAGAGGAAGAACTACACTGGACATGGTCTCATTCACAATCATCCAGGGGCGACAAAATGGGGGAATCGAGTGCCACCTCCTGAAAGGACATGTAGGATCACGTAGGATAACATTGGGTTTATGCTTTCAACCCCCTGGCCTGGTACTACAAAGCTGAAATTTTCAGGCACGGTGGGGGAGTGGGGGGTGGCAGGTGAACAGGAGAACTCCAAAGGACAGAAGGATGGCGATGCATGTTCTGGGGCACTTGAATGGGGGAAGGGGGCGGTGCCTACGTAAGAACCATAAACATCGATGCTCTTGTGACCTGTTAGCTAAGCTGATGGGAATGAGGTATGTATTCCTAGAAAAGAATAAGAAAGCAAATAATCAAGGTCATATTGTCAAAATGAAAAAACTTCGCTTTCTTTCTTTTAGGAGCTAATAGGGTGCTCACAGACACACTGGCAGGCACATGTGCCTTGGGCCTTGGTGGTCTGTGGCTCTAATGTAAATACTCTTAAAAGTTAAGTATTCTAGACCCAGATCTTTTCTGGCCTGTAATCCTTGTGCTCAGTTCCTCTCCAGTGTTTTGAAATTGTATCTTTGCTGGTTTTTTTTTTAATGTGAGCAGGCTCGGCCCACCCACTAAACTACTGGTTTTCAACCTTTTTACACCTACAGATGGGTAAAAAATAGAATTCATGGGCCACTAAGGCTAAACTCAAGCACCATCATTTATAGTAAGGATACTTACGCCTGTATTTAAGTGGGTATTAATACTATTAGATGAGCTGGGTGGAACAGTAACTGGTGAACTGACAGGAAATTTGTTTGGACTAGCAGTTGAAAGCCACTGATACAGAAGAGCTTTAAGAGGTAAGGCTGAAACTTGAATAATTCTGTTCCAGCATCTCTGACATTTTATTGTCCTCCTAGACATAAAAAAGAGAAAAAGAAAGATAAAGACAAAGAAAGAGGCCGCGATGAAAGAGAACGGTCCACCAGCAAGAAGAAGAAGAGCAAAGATAAGGAGAAGGAGCGGGAACGGAAGTCCGAGAGTGACAAGGATGTGAAAGTAGGTCTATAGACCGTCTCGTCTCGGTGCTCCGGGGGTGCTGGTTACGCCTCAGAAGCGAGTTTTCTTGGAGGAAATTTATTTCTTTATTCTCCTTGACAAAGCAGGTTACACGGGATTACGATGAAGAGGAACAGGGCTACGACAGCGAGAAGGAGAAAAAAGAGGAGAAGAAACCAGTGGAACCAGGTTCCCCGAAGACAAAGGAATGTTCTGTCGAGAAGGGAACTGGCGATTCCCTCAGAGAATCCAAAGTGAACGGGGATGATCATCACGAAGAAGACATGGACATGAGCGACTGAGGCGGCGCCGAGCCCCAGCCATGCTCGTGCGTCAGTGTCATTCCTCTGTGTGGTTTCCTAACGCTGTATTGTTCATCTCAAACCCAGATGTATACAGCTGAGTCATAAATGGTTGCAGAACTCCTGCTACTGATCTTACTTACATCACAAAGCTTTTAGGAAATGGAACGTGGGTAACCAATTCTTGACATGGTGAAATGTGATTGAGTAAAACCAAGCAGTTTTACTACCCTGGTGCTGCTTCCTCGAGACCGAGATGAAAAGCTGCATGCGTCTCCAGCCGGCATGGGTTGTTTATGTTGTAGGACCTCCTTTATTAAGTAAGTTCCCTTAGAGTATTTCTAGAATTTGATTCATTGCCGTACTCAAGCCATGTAGGGAATGCACTGATTGCATGTTCATTGTGGCAGGAATATCCTACATGTCATTAAGATCTCCATGATGGATCTACCTTTTGGTCTTGTTCATTGACATGACAAATTAACGTTCTTTTAGTTACATCTGAAAATGAGCATTGGAAATAGATAATCCTTTAAGCCTTGTGGCTAAATTTTTGTGGCTTTTTGTTTAACTTTGAAAGGTTGTATATGCACTAACTTTTTTTGTTTTGATGGCTAATTAGGCTTTAATTATTACAGAAACAAGATTTCAAATGAAGCTGTCTTTGACAGTGAGTAAAACAGCATATTTTGAAGTAGAGTTGTGTACTTTTTCCTAAGGCATTCAGGAGTTTTTTCCTAATTTATTTCACGCCTACATCAGTGAAAGCTATCTGCCTATCCCGATTCCATCTGTAAAAGAACGGTATCTCTTGTCCTGATTTTCAATTTTTCGCTTCTTTATTAATTTGTTTTGATCTAGTGTTGAAAAGAGGGTAGTGCATTTTAAATTGACCTTCATATGCTTTTAAAATAAGACAAATCTACTTGATAATGTACTTTTATTTGATCTCAAGTTGTATAGAACCAATTAATTTTGTGTTACTGTTCCCGCAGTAGTAATCCTATGCACAGTGATTCCATGTTAAAATGCAAAGTAGTTAGGCAACTGTTTCTTAGTTACAGGAGTTTCAGGCTTCACTTTTGTGCAGTAAAAACAAAAGTAGGCTACAGTCTGTGCCATGTTGATGTACAGTTTCTGAAATTGTTTTACAAGACTTTGATAATAAAACCCTTAAACTTATGTTCATGTTCCTGTAAAACTGTATTTGTATTTATTTACACTATTGAATGTATAACATTTACCTCATTCATTTTACAAATCAAGTTCTTTCCCCTTTAATCCACATTTTATAAATAGTAACAAGATGAAGCCCATCATGGTGGTGATACGCTGCCATCAGGCCGTCAGTGTCCCTCTCATTCCTAAGTAAGTCTTCGTTGAGTCTAATTTTTCTCTCCTATGTGGGTGTAGAATTAGGTTGAGTGAAGCAACGAAGTTGAGGATAAATAAATTGATCCCATCTGTATCTAGTAAATTTATATTTTCAGTGAAATATAAATATCTGCCTTTTTTGGAATAGTATAGAAACTGTCAATGGTATATATCTACTGTACAATACTAAATCGTATATTTATTCATTTACAAAACGAGTAGTGTTTTGAGTGGCTGCATTTAAGGGGAAATGAAACTGCGAATTGAAGTTTTGTTCCAAGTTCAAGTGTAAATTTTTTTAACTTTCAAAACTGAAATGCCATATAGAAAAGCAGCATTGTTTTTACAGTTTGTAGTAGGTAACTTTTTAAAGATTTTATCAAAAGGGATTTTGTGTATAGTATAAACTTCTAGTAATGGTCATAATAATCACTGCATTTTTAAACAAAGTTGAATGCAAATGACATTTGCTTAAATCTTTTCTAGTAGGTAAGTTGAACCATCTGACATTGCCATTTTTGTAAGTAAAAAAATAATTGGCAGTATCACATGGTTTAAACCTATTGGTCTGTTCTTGTAATCTCTAAATACACATTTTCCTTTTCTTAGAAAAGGGAATGAGAAATCCTGGGTTGTGAAATAGTACCACTAATAAGTTGATAGAGTAAAGGGGAATCCACACATTTTTCAGTGACCATTTTATGCACAAGGTAAGGTCGCACCGGGACACAAAGCCCTTAACACAGGTGACAAGTTGGAATCACGTGAACACTGCCTCCACACTGAGTTTTGTTCTGTATTTGGTAGTACAAATGATTTAAAAATAAAAGTGGTTTTGTTAGAAAAAAAAAAGTTTGTGCTATTTGTTTTAATTCTGCATAAGTGAATGAAGTGGCTCTGAATCCACTCGGGAATTTGGGGCTTTATTCACAAGTGCAAGTTGTTACTTTGCAGTTCTGTGTAGATTGAGTGATAACTTGCTTTGCAGTGTAGCTGGCGGGGATGTGTCTAGATCAGTGAAAGCATTTTCCATTTGCTCTGGAGCTTTCCAAATACTAGACTTGGTACTGTTCAAACATGCACTAAGTGGCACCAAGTACTGATTTGTTTATGTAGAGAGTAGAGAAACGTTAGGCACTTACTTGAAGGGAAAAGAAGAACACTTAGGGGCCAGAGTGAGTGTTTACCTTGCATCCTGGTGACCCTGATTCAAATCCCTGGCACATCCGGTCCCCACAGCACAGCCAAGGGTCACTCCTGAATACAGCCAGGATGCCCACCCAATGCACGATGTGCAGCTGCCCCAATTTTTTTCTTTTTGGGTCACACCCGGAAATGCACAGGGGTTACTCCTGGCTCTGCACTCAGGAATTATCCCTGGCGGTGTCCAGAAGACCATATGGGATGCTTGGAATCGAGCCCGGGATATGGGATGCTGGGAGTCAAACCCGGGTCAGCTGTGTGCAAGGCAAACGCCCTACCCATACCCACTGTGCTACTGACCCGTTCCAGCCTCCTGCCCCTCTTAAAAGCAAAATCTCCATTCCTGGAGCAACGAATACTAAATCTACCTAACCCTGAAGTTGGCCTCTTACAACTGAAGCTCTAATGTGCCAGTGGCCTGTGCACAGTAGTGGCATTACCTTATTTTTCCCCTAGGAAAACCTTGTTCAGTTGGGCAAGCTGTGTAGGGCCCACGCACGCTCTGAAGACTGATGAACAGCTTTCAAACTGGAACTGAGTTTTGTATTTTAAGACCTTGTTACTGCGCACCATCCCTGAATTCAGTTAAATGTCCAAGTAGTTGCAGTCAAATATGACGGTTACAGAAATCCACCTGTACTTTTCAGATGACCCGGGAGGTCCTTTGCTAAGGTTTTCTTGGAGATGCTTTTCTGAGACTCCTGGATTTGTAGATAAAACTTGAGTCTATTTTGCTCAGCTTTATTCTTGGTCCCATTTTTTATTTTATAGCATCAAAGTATATATGAAATTCATTTAGATACTCTAGCAAAATAACTTGAAAGTTAACCATGCTGATTCTTCACCGGTAGTGGATATACTCTAAAGAATCTATTTGGGGTACAGCAGTGTTACCAGCAACCTAGTACAGTACAGAGACAGGAATCAAATATAGTTCAATGCCATCCGTACCAAGAGAGTAGAGGAGGTGACATGTCCACGTTCAAGAAAAGTGTCAAGGTTCTTTTCCCAGCACAGTCTCTGGAATTCGCGTCCTGTCCTCAATGGCTAGTTAACTCGAGTATGGGTTTGTGCAAAAAAGAAAGTGAAGGAAGGTCTAGGGTCACACAGAACGGGATTTTCCAAATAATGTTTAATGTTACTGTTCAATTACCTCAAGATGTAGGTTTTTCAGTACACATTAAATATAAAACTGCCTTTCAGTCATGACAGACACGTTAACAAAGTTAAAATTTGTTTACTTAAATATCAAGTTTTCAAAGACAAGCAGGTTTTTCTTATTGGCTTTCACAACTAAGAGTGTGACCCCCCCAGCGAGCACGCGTGCAAGCACCACAACCAAGTGTGCGACCCCTGTCGAGCACCACAACCACGTGTGTGTGAGACCCCCAGGCATCGCGATGACAGGAGTCGAAAGTGTCAGCAACTAACTACAAGCAATGAGAGTTACAGGGATTTAACCTTAGTTGTTGGGAGTTGGTTAGTGTCAACTTCCGTTGTCTTTGCTGGAACCCTCAAGAAGGGCTCCAACAGCAAGGGTGTCAGCAGAACTGTTGGGCAGAGGGTGAAACACACAGGTGTTAAGTGTGAGATGTGGATGGGACAACCAAGGGAGGGAGAGGCAAGGACAGGCCCAGGCAGCACAGACAAACTATGAAACTGCTGCCCCAAGAGCGAACCCTTCCAAGCACCTGAGTCCAGAAAGCCTCAGCCAGCCACTGCCTCAGGGAAACAGTATGAAGCTCCTGGTCCTTTCCACCTGTAAGGCTTGACTTTCAGAACCAACAAGGACCTTCCTGAAAACCCTCAGGAGATTTTGACAGTCAAGTCTTCTAGGTATGGTAGCGGAAATGAGGCTTTGTATGTACCGTCGTACCGTTACGGCTAAAAGATGAGCTACAGCAACTTCAGACACTTCGTCACTGGACTAGGTACCACTCTAAGGATGTCACAGGATACTGAACAAAGTAAAACCTGACAAGAGTTTCAGATTTCTTCACAAAAGCAGTTCTTGCTACCTAATTCAGATGCTACAAGTTTTACTAGTTCGTTAGTAGAAACTTTACTGACGTTCTGCTGTCTTTACAAGTGGCTTAACTGTTCTGACCGTTGATCTCTTCACAGATACACTCTGCCAGGTGTCTGCATTTCCATAGTTTCTAAATATAGCAGCAACTTTGGTATGGAGACATTGGTGTTGATTGTTTTTTTTTTGTAATGGTTAAAATATCCTTTTGCTGAATCAGGCAGAGGCATATTGTGTCTCTGTTGCCATAATTCAGCATCTTCAAGGTTACCAGGCTACGTACGTAGTCACAACACAATAATAGGAGGACATCAGATTCACCTAATTTCTCGGAGAACTCTCCTTTACCATGTAGTTTGCAAATAAAATAGGAACAAAGTGAATTAAAAGGAAGTATCCTTAATTTATTACCTGGTGATAATATTGATTCCAGCTTTGTGACCTCAAATTCAAAAGGTGGTTCACCAGGAAATCAGAACTCACTACTGTTTCCCAAGGAATGAAGATTACAGCGCGTGATTAACTGTGAAAAACCATTTTTCATCATTGACGGATGCGCAACACCAAAGCAGAAGAAAGAAACTCAGCTTCTCTTTGAGTATTTCCAGACTGTCCCATGTATTCCAACTCACAATCACCCACCTCTGCTTTGGGCTTCCTCCCTATGCTCAAGGCAGACAACTGTCTGCAGACAGTCTGTTAGTGAGAGCACTTTTCTCTGAGCCCATATCTTCTTGAGATAGCATGCTGGTGGCAGAAATGTTGAATGTTTCCAAATCAACCCCCTCACCCCCGCCAAGTTTAAATGACTAACAGAACTTTATGGGCTTTCATAACAACGATTTTGATGTGAGATGATCAAAATATAGGGGGGTTTAATCTACTTAACCGAAACAGCATCTAGACCTTCGCTAACCAATTAAAAGGCACATTTTTAAAAGTTTATTTGCATTAATCAACTCCTTGTTTTCACCCTGCTTAGACAGCATTTGCTGGTCCTCTGTGATCAGAGACATGTGGGAATGGATCATCTCTCTACTATTCTCGAGGAAAGAAAACATTAAAAAGAAATCCAGTGCAAACATTTTCAGTAGTTCCCTTAATTCCAGTGTACCCCACTACTCTGAGAATGCCGCTAAGACCGAAGCAGCAACTGACCTTAACATTTCCCCCACTAAGCTTCTATTCCTGAAGTGGACTCTGTCCCAGAAAGGGGGAGCCTACTCATCAAAGGGGTGTCCCCCACCTTCCAGTGTCAGGAACCTTGTATAATCATCCACAGGACAATTCCATCTCTCTGTCACTTGAACTGGGATTGTTCCCCAACTAAGAGGGACCGATTTCTCCACCCGAGAAACCTAGTCTGGGTTCAACCAACTCTTTCCGCAAAATTCAAGAGACCCACACCAGGTGATCGTCGGTCTCTGATTTTTTAACAATGCATTATTATTTTTGTATTCGCAAAGTGTTCCACAAAAGGTCAGTGTATGCACTGTGGCATGTTATTGGCATGGAAGGTGCAGCTTTAAAGAGATTTATTATAAAAGTTTTTCTTATGCTTGATGCTTTGGATTTTTAA